CTTGAAAATGGGTTGGTTTGCACAATGTAAATACAGTAGGTAGAGTTGTGATTTTGGCCTCTGCGAAGGTTATACGGTATCTTTGTTTGCTAAGTGTTCAATTCACGTGCTCCAGACTGTATGAGGCTCCTTTAGCGCGCCTAAGGGGGCGCGAATTCGCCGAAAAAGCACCACTACTGCATCGCTTCTTCAGCTACTGTTGCATCTCCACGGTTGATTCGCCATGCGATCCAGAGCCGTCATCCACATCGAACGGCTGTGGGCCCCAGTGGCGCGCGCACGCCCATGGGTTCCTGATCGCGCCGCGCATTCGTCTTGTACTTCCGCCATTGTCACTTCGTTCGCATCTCGCTCGCTACACGCACCTGAACTGTCTCGGTCCTTGCTTACGTCACCAGCCGCCACAGCGGAAGCGCGAGCCGCCACGCGGCGAGCGCCGATAGCAGCGGCTGTGCGTCGCGGCGCCTTTCCTTTGGCCGTAGACGCCGTTGCCGCTCTCCCCGAATCCGCATGTGCTTTCCCCAGCCCCTCTACCGCTTCCGCCCTTCCTGGTGAATCTGGCTCTCCAACGGCTTCCGCTCCCCCCGCCGTTTATTCCCCTTGCGCCGCCGTTGGCTTGCGCGCCCCGTGGACTCTTCCGCCCGCGGGCTTCCCCCGAATTGCTGCTTCCGCGTGTGCCACCCTCGCCGGCTCAGGTGCTGCTGTAGATGACGGACGGCGCACCGTAGCTGACGGTCTGGGAGCTGTAGCTGACGGACTGAGTACTGTAGCTGATGGATCCCGTACTGTAGCTGACAGACCAATCAATTCACGCAATAGATGTCCACCTGTAGAAGACAAGGGATTGAGGTGGGCTCTGGTGGATTGGGAACGGTGCAGAGCGGTGCATGGGGGACGAACCGAGAGAGAAAGGTTGGCCCGGAAGGACAAGGTTTCGGGTTTCAGGGTTTATGCGAATCAGGGTTTAGGAAGACAGCTTGGGGTGGGAGAGGTATATGAGGAGAAGAACGATTGGGCATGGAGCTTTAAAACGAGTCGTCGCTCAATAGAAGGGACATGGGTTGTTGGGGCAGCTCAAGGGACTAAAGATGGGGCATGGGGTTTTGGGTCTGTTGGGTGGTGGACACATGAGGCATGGGTTCAGGGTTGGAGGGAAGGGACGCTTATAGCTCACATGCAGTGGCATATGCACGCACACAAAGTGCATAGACGCGTCATGAACAAACGCGTTATGCATACATGCAGTAGTGCGCATGGGGAGCGGATACGTGCGTACCCCAGTGATGATAGGTGCGACATGGAGAGACGTAGCATCTGTTGCCCCGCTTTTATTGACACGTTGAGACAGTATGGCTCAACAGAATCAAGGCAGTCTTATACTGACACGTACAGCCCATATTTCTCAAGGGATACAAGGCGGAGTGACAGCTTGCATGTGGGTAGGCGCTATATGCACTCTGATAGGACGAGTGGACGTGAGTCGTTGAATGGCAGCAGCAGCAGCAGCAGCAGGGGGAAGCGGGGGTGGAGGGAGAGGGAGGTGCTTCAGCCGGCCAATCTGGTGTCCCTCGTTCGACTCGCATCTGGCCCTCCCATTGCCGCGTGAGACATGACTCTCTGCACATTTTGACGGTACATAAGAATACACGTATACATAAGAATACGCACACACAGGCACACACACACACTCACACACTCACACACACACACACACACAGATTTGTTGGCGCCCCACAAGTTCAGGCGGTCAAGTTAGTCTCCTCCTCATCCTAGCTTGACTGGCGTCCGGCCCTCCCATTGCCTCGACAAGATGGGTAAGGCATTTCTTTAGCCATCTCGTCTCGATCATGTGTGATTTGATTCGTCGGAAGCAACACTTGAGGCGCCTCAAAAAGCAATTTGATATAGGCGCCTCACACTGCCCCCACCCACTTGACTTGCCTCTCACCCACCCATGCTCTCACTTTATTCCAAGCAGCCGTTTTCCTTCCTCTCTCCCATCATGCCCTTGCTACCTTTGTTCCACCCTTTCCCATCTCTCCCCGCCCCCTTTATAGTCTCATCGTCTACAATCACACAGAGGCAGCAGTTGTGGCTCTGCTACTGGCAGGGGCTTCTGATTGGGTGAGACAGTTGCTACTAACGAGGATGTTGCTAGTAACAAGGATGTTGCTAGTAACGAGGATGTTGCTAGTAACAAGGATGTTGCTAGTAACGAGGATGTTGCTAGTAACGAGGATGTAAAACGGATGTTGCTGGCAACGTGGATGTTGTCAGAAACGAGGGTAACGCTACTAACTGAGGGTGTTGTTCATAACGAGGATGTTAGCCCCATCAAGCTATTTCCCCCGTTCCATTTCCCCCCCTCTCATTTCCCCCCTCCTTCAACTCCCCCTCCTTCCTTCCTTCCATTGTTTCTAACCCATCCCGCATCCCCCCTCTCCCCCCACTTCAGTTAGATGGGTACTTGGCCCGGCGGTTCAAAGGAGGCGAGTCCGTTTTAGGCTCGTATCTCGATCCGCTAGCAGACAAGGCGTTGGTGGCATGTGTGGCGCTGGCGCTGCTGGGGAAGGGGCTGCTGCCGCCATGGCTGGCGGTGCTGGTGCTGGCTCGAGATGTGTTCCTGTTCGGTGGGCACGTTGTGATGCGGTTGAATGCGGTGCAGTGGAAAGTGCGTGGGTTGGGAGGGGAGGGAAGGTTGTAGGGGCGGAGGGGAGGAGGGAGGGGGGTTGCATTTGGGGCTGCTGCCGCCATGGCTGGCAGTGCTGGTGCTGGCTCGAGATGTGTTCCTGTTTGGGGTGCATGTGGTCATGCGGTTGAATGCGGTGCAGTGGAAGGTAAGTGGGTTGGGAAGGGGAGGGGGGGGGGGGGGGGGGGGGGGGGGGGGGGGGGGGGGGGGGGGGGTGGGGGGGGGGGGGGGGGTGTTGGGCTGGCAGTGTTGCTGGCTGGAGATGTGTTTCTGTTCAGACTGCACGTGGTGATCCGCCACCTACTCTAATTGCTCTCAACCGCACCCAACCCCTGCAGTGGTGGCAGCACCGCACTCACTTCTTTAACATCCAAAAGGGGACGGCGGAAAGGGTGGAGCCTCTCCTCATAAGCAAGGTGCGCTCTTAGTTAAGTGCTCTGTGAGCAAGGTGCGCTCTTAGTTAAGTGCTCTGTGAGCAAGGTGCGCTCTTAGTTAAGTGCTCTGTGAGCAAGGTGCGCTCTTAGTTAAGTGCTCTGTGAGCAAGGTGCGCTCTTAGCTTAGTGTGTTGTTGTCAATGAGCAGTCTAAGGCGTGATTCTTTCCGATTCGTTTTTCCTGGCAAGTCGCCACACTTCGAATCTCGTTTTCTGTACCCAAGATGCGCCCATATCCAAGAACCAGCAAGTCAACTCGGGTCAATCCAAGTCAAACCCTTCCCAACCTATGCCCCCTCTCCCGCCCCCCATGCAGGTCAACACGTGTCTGCAGATGCTGCTTCTCCCTGCCGCCCTCCTGCACGACCCTTACCTCCTCTCCACCGCTCCCAACCTCCTCCCATACCTCTGGTACCTCTCACTTCTCTCCTCCCTTATCCTTTTTTCATTCCCACCTCCTCTCCCACCCTCCTCTCTTCCTGATTCCCCCTCTTCCTGCTCCTGTAGGATACCCCTTGTTCATTCATACTTTTGAGGCGCCTCAAAAGTAATGCTCCTGTGCCATACTCTTTGTTCATTCATATGCGTCGTTCGTCCATCCCACCCACTTGCTTCTTGCGTGTTCCTGATAAATTTCTGAATGATTTCTCTTGCGTGATTTTCTGGTTTATCCGACTAGCTTATTGCATGTTCTTCTGAGTAATTTCTCATCAAAGCGCCGTGCTTGCTATTCTGGTTCATCCGAGTGGCTTTTTCTCTGCTCCTCTCCCTGTGGCAGCTACTCAGTTGCAACCACCACTGTCACCTCCTGGGCAGCTTACATGTGGGTGGGCCTTATGCGCAAATAGAGGATACAGTAGTATACAGGTGTAACTGACTGGAGAAACAGATACGGTATGTACGCCGTTCATTGTATGTATATTCGAGGGTACTGAAGATATGAATGAACCATCGTTGTACTGTACCGTACGTGTGGGTTGGGTTACGACGCACAAATAGCCGATGTTGCTGGTACATGTGTGTGTCACGTAAGGAGGAGAGTAGGCAGCTACACTGTACCGTATTTCTTCCTTTGGTGTGGGTACCGTGTACGGTACTTACACAATATCATCACCTGTGGTGTGGGTCGGGTCTTTCACAGTTATATCCTAGTTCAATTCTTATAGAAGGCAGGCATGTGTGAATCTATCCTCGTATCGTACTACCATCGCAACAACCACTTCTTTCCATGTATCGTACCGTAGTGTGGCGACACTGTGAAGGAGTCAAATGGTTCAGCTAGATGCGCGTGGACCAGACTAGGGAAGTTGTGAAAATGGCACTTCCCAGTTTGTTGGTGTTGTGTTTTACCGTATAATTATTGGGACAATCTCGGCTCGGAGCAATGTGCAACTGTACATGCGAGCATGCTGGGAAGAAATCACATACTGGTACCATGTACGGTAACGAACGGTAACCACGGCACACTCCTGTTAGATCCGCCATCAATTACAAAACCTTTTTTGTGCAGACACTGACTGCTTGTAAGATTTATGTTTTATATCAATTATAAATATCACCCTTTTATTCGAATAGCGGTTTACAAGCAGGTTTCACAAGACAACCCACATGCCTAGTAGTAGCATCACCATCCACATAGCACTAGAGAAGCACAACCATAGGCATGCAGCTTGCATCAAGAACCAGGCTTGCTTAGGCGCAAACACTCCCATGCACATCCCCTCCCCATCCATCAGATCAGGTCAGACCCACCTCCCTCCTCCTCCTCTTTCTACATTCTACCCATAAACCCGGATGCAAATGCCAACGCCAATGCCACCAATCCCCCGGCATGCCGATGCAAGGAGGCGGCGACCGAGTGAGCGACCACTTGATAGCTTAGGGTTTCTTGGGCGCAGAGGGTGTAAGGCCGGGGACAATGAGGCCAATGCCTCTGCCATTGGACCGGTCGTACGTGCACGTTCCGTTGGGAGAGCCGGCGTAGCGGCACACTCCGTACTCCTTGGGGCGTTGAGCAGCAGCCATGAGGCTATTCACGTACCTGCGGTTGTTGCATGGGTTCGGGGTTTCGGGTTTAGGGGTTTTGGTGTGGGGTTTCGGGTGCAAGAAGGAAGTAAGAAGGGGAGGAGCATGTTTTGGAAGCAGAGGGTGCGTCATTGCATGGCTGCATGAAAGCTTGAGTGCATACGTTTGGCCGTGGGGGGAACCGTAGGTGGGCAGTCGCATGTTGCGGAAGCAGAGGGGGCATGATTGCATGGCCGCATGAAAGCTTGATTGTTTGCATACGTTTGGCCGTTGGGGGAGCCGTAGGTGGGCAGGTGCATGTTGCGGAAGCAGCGCCAGCCGCGGCAATAAGGGCAGCCCGGGCAGGTAGCATCCGCTTTGCAATTAAAGCCATTCTTGGGGTGAGGCGCCGTGAAACGGCAGGTCCCTGGGGGGGAGGGAGGGAGGGAGAGGGGGAGAGGAGGTTGAGTTTGAAAGGGCTTGCGTGAGACGAGGAGATGGAAAGCACTTACAGTAGCCCGTGGCCCAGTCAAAGGTTCCCAGCCACTGGTGGCATTGACTGACATTGACTGACGAATACCAAAGATGCCTCGCGACTAAAAGACATACTTACAGAAGCCCGTGGCCCAGTCAAAGGTTCCCAGCCACTGGATCTTCCTGTTGACGTATGTGTAGGTCGGTCGGCAGGAGGAGAGGGAATTTTGAGGCGTCGTGAAAGACTAACTTACAGAAGCCCGTGGCCCAGTCAAAGGTGCCGCGCCACTGGGTCCTCAGATTGACGTATGTGTACCAGGTGCCGTTCTTGGCCTTCACCGACATGCCAAACAGGGGGTGGAACCTGAGGGGGGGAGGGCGGAAGAGGGGAAGGGAGAGGGGGAGTATCTGAGGGGGGCGGCGAGCAGAGAACGGCAATGGGCAAGAGAAAGCGCAGGGAAGGACTGATGTGATGCGCGTGGGGTGATGGACAGATAGTAGGCAGAAACGCAGAGAGAGGGCAGAGAGAGCGCAGAGAGGGCAGAGCGTGCATACTTGGGGACGTCATAGGGGTAGAAGCCGAAGGGCGTCGAGTTGTTGGTCCGCGGGCTGGCCTTCCACGCAGGCACGCCCGCGAGCTTGCGCCCCGGCGCGTCCGTCCCCTTCGCCCCCGCGGCCGCGGCCGCGGCCGCGCCCGCCTCCATGGCGGCGACGAACTTCTTCACCTCCGCGGGCGCATCCGCGGGGAGCGGCTGCGGCTGGAGCGTGCGCGCGAGCTCCATATCTTGCCCCTCTAGCGCCAGGTCGAACAGCGCGCTGATCGGCGAGCTGGTATCGGGGAAATCGGCGGGAACGTCGGGCACGTCGGGAGCGGAAGTGCCGGGGGTGGCGGGGATGGTCAGGTCGTCTATCGCCTCTCCGGCGGAATCCGCCGGCGGGTTCTCCGCTGGGCCGGCGCCGGGGCTGGTCGCGGGACCGTTGCCCGCGCTCCCCGCGTTGCCGGGGGTTGCGCCTCCCGCTGCGCCGGGGAAGCCCGGCGGAAGGGTCATTCCGCCAGACCCGGAGTCGCCAAAGCCGACGGCCCCGGCGGATTCCGCGCCGGGGTCGGTGCCGTAATCTTCGTCCGCCACGCGCTCGACGTAGTCGTCCCCGACGTCCTGAAGGATGCGGCGGGAGGCGGAGGCGGAGGCGGAAGGCGCAAGGAGCGCGCACGCGAGCAGCAGCGCGCAGGCGAAGAGCGGGAGCACGAGGCGCTGTTTGAAGGCCATGGTGGGAGGAGCGGTGCTGCTAGCTGCTGCTGCTGCCGATACCGAGGAGAGAACGAGAGGCGGCCGGGTGAATTCAAGGGCGAACACGTGTAACGCGAGGCTTCACGGGTGCTTGCACTTGGAAGCCTAGAGCTCCTCGAGCCAAAAAATGAAACGAGGAGAGAGAAAACTGGATGATTTCGAATAGCCTCACTCGCGTGCTTTAATAGCTTTCAGTCCTCCCACTGAAAGGATAGAGCTCCCACCCACCGCGGTTCCCACTCGCTGCCCTGTGTGACTCGAGTCTGACCAGCAGGGGATTCGACTCTCAGGCGACTACCGACTCCCCACTCCGAGGCGAGTCCGAGGCGAATCCGAGGCGGTCCGAGTCGGTTCGGAGTGGGGTCACTTGCGGAGGTTGGATCAACCCCTCAGCCTGGATAAACCCCACTGAGTGGCGTTGACATCAAGGAACCAACCAGCCATCAACGGGCTCAGCCCGGTTGGGCTGCCCGTTTGGGCTGCCCGTTTGCCGCACCAGGCTGGTGCAGCCCGGTTGGGCGACTCGCGCGGGGAGTCAAGCCCTGCAACCTCCTCTATCGCGCGCGTCGCTCGCTGCGTCGCACACAGTCGTACGGCGACAGGCGGGCGTGAAGAAGGAAAATGAGAGCATCGGGGGATACTACTGCCGATGCTAGGCTCTTCGGCTGAAATGGAGCCACTAAGCGACCGAACGACAGAGGGATCGAGCAATCGAGTGGGCGAGTGACCAAGCTATCGCGTGATACATCCAGCGGTTGAGACGGTTCGCGAGGCGTCGAGTCTGAGCACCGGAGTGCACCCCACTGGCGTGCACCCCACTGGCGTGCACCACACCGGCGAGGACCGGTCACGGAGGACCGGTTTCTCAAAACGAGGGGCGCTGTATGGCCCGAGACCAAGAGCTGGACCGGTTGCTGCGCGCCCGAGATCAAGATCTGCATGTTGCTCGTTGTTGAACGCCATGATACGGATAGGGCTCGCGGGATGGAATCGGGAGGTTGCGGGCTGACTGGATGACTATGGAACCGCCGCGTTTCGTCCTCTGATGAATGCAGCCTGCAGTCAACTAGAATCGCCTGCTTCAGACGACTTTCGAGACGCCTCAAGGGTTGATTTGGAACTGCTAAGCAGCTGCTTTTGGCTGGTACAGCACCGTTGGTCTCCTCCCTAGTTTCCCCTCGGCTCTCCCTGCGGCATCTCCGCCTCCACCCTGTCTGTTCCGTGTGGCAGTGTGAGACATGGAAACTAACCGCAACTGGATGATGTTGGGGCAGCACGAGGCGAAGAATGAGGGAGGAGTTGAACTGAGAGCACCAAGACAAGAAAGTTGAATCTCGGGTTGGTGTGAGGCAGGATAGAGGCAGGGTCACGGAAACGGGAGGGAAATTGCGGAGCGCAGGTGTGACGCGGTTTGGTCGAAAATGTGCCGTTTGGTATTCCAGTACGGTACCCGTTATGGAAGTACATTCTCCATTAAGGAGCATTTTAGGAAGCAAATCGTTGAAAGCTCGTCAAGAAATACACTGTTCCAAATAAATAATACATAAAGTGCTAGAGTCCTATCCTTCCACATAGCAAACCATACATGCTGTACTATGGAAAGTGTTGTCTGTAACTCGATACAGACATAAGCTAAAGCTGCTTTTCATTTTCCAAACACTACACAACTTGGGCAAAATATCGGCTCGTAGTGGCACTAGTACCAAGTGGTCTAATAGGATTCTAGGTTAGGGTTCACCATGCCATAGAGGATGTACTTGCTTCATATTTAGTACCCTGTAATAAAACAGAAAGTACACTACAGGAAACATGCATATGAAAGTTTGAATATGCACAACAAGATCTTATGCTTGGCAAAAGCTAGTAAATGAGTAACCAATATCACACAATAAAGAAGGCAACCAGACAAGGATACCTCACGCATCCTTGGCTCGCCACCAACTAGTTTAATAACTCAAACCACCTTGTCTTCCAGGGATTGCAGCAGTCAAGCCTTTACACCTGCGCGGTGCCTGCAGTGAAGTCTGGGTTCTCGCACTTGTAGGTTCCGTCAATTCCGATTCCGAAGCCCCTGGGGTCAGCAAATACATTCTCCAGCAACTGGTGGCGCTCCGGCAGTGGGCTCTCATCAGCAAACTCAACAGCATCCTCCACGACATCGTCAATCTTCTTCTCAATTGCCTGAAAAAAGATCAGAAGGGAGCATGGACAAGTTACAAACGAAGAACACTGACAGCAAATTGACAAAACCCAAGATCAGGCTCCCTTAGAATATCTGACAACTGGGCTGCAGTTGCCAGGAAAATTGGTCTGTAAAGGGTGAAAACGAAATCTTCTAGGCTTGGTGCTCATTATCTCGTTCATAAACTCCAAGAGACGGCTCATGAAGACCATTTGAAAAACTGTTAACCATCCTTAAACCCCTGACAGAAAAACCCCGTTCTAACACTAATCAGCTAATTGCATGACAGAAATTCCATGAAGACACAGAGTGTCTGGCCAGGCAACACAACTGACTAGAGCCCATGCATTTCTTTCACCAGCAAGCATCACCCCAACAGAATCGTGCATCCAGTTACACACAATCCTCTAGCGAAAAAACGAATCGAGAATCCCCCCCCTCTGTCCGCAACAGTCATGGTGCAAAGCAGCCTGGCCCACCGTGCTTTACCGTGCAATCCGCTCGTGTCACTCACCTTGAGGTCGGCCTCGGTGGCGAGCCCCGTCTCCAGGATGTGCTTCTTCAGCGCGATGATGGGGTCGCGAGCGGCATACTTAGCCTTCTCCTCTGCGCGAACCAGGGAGGTATGGAGGGGACGAAAGGAGTGGGGGAGAAACGGCGGGATACGGGGAGGGAGTGCAGAGAGGGGGGAACGGAGAGGACTTAGGGACCATAAAGTTGGCATTCTAGCAAGGACTTTGGTGGAAGGAGAGGAATGTTTTGTTGGGAAAATTTGGCGGATGGATTTGTCAACCAACTGGAGAGTGGATAAAGAAGAGATGTATTGGTAGGTACGCTGACACGGGGAAACTCACTAGTACAGAGTCACTTACCAGGGGAGCGAAGCTCATCGGGGTCGGCCAGGGAGTGACCGCGGAAGCGGTACGTCTCGCACTCAATCAGCGTCGGGCCGTCGCCCCGCCTGGCGCGATCAATGGCCTCCAGTGCCACCTCGCGCACCTTGAGCACATCCATGCCGTCCACGTGGACTCCGGGCATGCCGAACGCGGGGCCCTTCTTCCAGATGGCGGGGTCCGACGTGGAGCGCAGGTGGCTCATGCCGATGGCCCACAGGTTGTTCTCCACCACGAAGATCACCGGAAGCTTCCAGAGCGCCGCCATGTTGAGGCACTCGTAGAAGGAGCCGTTGTTGCACGTGCCGTCGCCGAAGAACGCCACTGCAGCCGGACGCAGCGAACAAACAAAAGGCAATCGATAAGTGAAATCGCAGTGAAATGTTTCCCTTCACGCTCTGATACGATAATACGCTCTACCGGGCGAATGGGCAGCTACAAAAGTCAGCGCAACGAGGGTCTCACCTGAAACCTGGTCCGCGTCTTGCTTGAGCACCTCCTTGTTGTACTTCACAGTGAACGCTGCACCGACAGCGACGGGGATGCCCTCGCCGATGAAGGCGAAGCCACCGAGCACGCCCTGCTCCTTGGAGAACATGTGCATGGACCCGCCCTGCCCGCGACAGCACCCCGTCGTCTTGCCGTACAGCTCTGCCATCACCTCGCGCGCCGGCACGCCCTTGCTCAGCGCGTGCACGTGGTCACGGTATGTGCTGGGTTGTTGAAGACGAAGGAGTTGTTGCGAGGTAGGGTCGGGGAAGAAGGGAGGGTAAAGGGAGAGGGTTAGAGAAAAAACTTCATGCGGAAAAGAACGATAGGGAAAAGGGTTGGGAAGATAGCTAGGATGTGGCCACACAATAGAAGCGACAAAGAAGATGGTACGGCAGGTGCAAGTGCGACGCGTGTTACCTGGTAACGTAGTCGTCCTGTCGCAAGTATTTGATGATACCGGAAGAGACGGCCTCTTGACCGTTGTACAGGTGAACGAAGCCAAACATCTTCCCGCGGTAATACATCTGAGCGCACATGTCCTCGAAGGTACGTCCCAGCACCATGTCCTCGTACAGCATCAGCGCGTCAGCGCGATCAAGATCCTGTTCAAGAGAATGGCGAGGGCACAGAGAGACATTGTGGATGCAACTTGTTGAAACGAAGACTACAAGACACGCAGGACGAGAAAAAAAAAACTCGCTATTCACTAGAAAGTAAAGTATGAAAAGCATAACTAGCGATTTTCTAAACAGTGAAAATGATTTGAAAGAAACTCCCTCACAGCCGGTTCAGGGAACAATGATGAAACTGACACAAGCTCTTCTCGAACAAAAAGAAAAGACTTGAAATAGATTATTGAACCAAGCGAGATCATCGCAGGGTTTTTGATAGGTACTGTTCGACGAAGGATGTGTGTTGATATTTTGCTTCTTCAATGATTACTAACCGGCACGACATAGGTGGATGTTGACGGATCGGCAGTGGCAGTGGCGCGCGCAGCACCAGCCTTCCAGTTCCCCTTCACCTGCACGGCCTTAACAGCCTTTGTGGGAACTCGCGATCCCAGAAACCGGCTGGACAGCGGCGCAGCAGCACCAGTGCTGACAGCAGACCTGGTAGAAGCCGTGGTTTGCCGAGCAGAATCTGCTGGTAGGGTGCAAGCCCTAACAGCCGGAGCAGCAGCAAGAGCCATGACGGATGGGAGTCACAGTTCCGAGCTCAGAAACTCGACCCTCAGGAACCAAGGGAATCACGAATCACAACTGAACCTGGATTGGAGATCGGAATGTCCAGCTACAGATATGGCTACTCAGACATCTACCAGTATGATCTGAGGATATCAGAGCCAACTCCAATCCAGGAGACTGCAGAGAATGGCTGATCTGGACATACAGGGATGAATGCTGGTGATAGACTCAGGGCGTATCTTTGGTTCGGGTCATAAGGCCACTTCGGGTCATCAGTACACTTTGGGTCATGGGAGGACCAATGGTATTCGAGTATTTTCACTAAAATGCGCCTGATTGGTCTTCCAAGAATCTCGGATGACCCGAACAGTGCATGACCCGAACCAAAGATACGCCCTCACTGCTTCTGGAGCTGAATTGACAAATGAAAGAATGGGGTCCGTAAACTGGATTCGCGACGAACATGTGTCTTGAACGGTCGGGATGAAGACTCAGGTCAACCTCGACATTCTCGAAGCGTAAGCTGCCGTCGATTTACGGCTTAGAGGTTTCTCTTGTGACGTGAGTGGCGGTTGGGATCTGGATGTGAACGAAACCTTTTATCATGCTGCTTTTGCGGTGAGTAATGAAGAGCTGGATGTTCTTCGTTACAAGATTGGGTGCGCTGCTTGCCACTGGTTATGGCCTAACGCGTCAGACATTGCCACCTGTACGGTCGAGCGTGCGGAAGGTGATATATTGACATCCCCGTCTCGTAACGCTGAGGTGGACAGATTGGCTTTCAGATGCAATGACCAATTCGGAAGCGATTGACACGTGGTACAACGAACGTCTCTTGCGCGCAGAAAAGGTGGAAGAAAGGTCATCTCACACATGCGGTACGAACGAACCTCTGTCTGTGTCGTCTCGTCATGTTGACCCACGCGAGGATGATGCTGGGTCATAATCGAGCAAAAAAATTCCCTGGCACCCTAACCAACCGTTCTAAATCTCACATCAATAGTAGCCTGATTCGCTGTAGCCCAGCTATATTCTGGATGAAGGGGTTGCTATTACCTAATATGACACTCCACAATGGGGTTCCTCAAATCACAACCTTTCGAAGTGCCAAAATTAGTTCTGAAGTACATTGCTTCAGTCGGGCCCCTACTAAAGAATTCCCCATCGCTTTCGTGCATCTGCTCTACTCATCGTAGGTGCACGTGAAATCAATTACTGAAATGTTGCATTCACCCATCTTCATGCTAGTTACATCAAGTATTGGTCAACAATCAAGATACATCGCAATACATATCCAGAAGGTCAGAGTCAGGTCCATAAACAATCCCAGCAGCTGCAGGATCAGCAGCGTTCGGCTTGCATACCCCGGTTCCCGAACATAGCGTCCCCGAACCATCTACCGAACCGCATATTGCACATGAAAATGTGTCTCTTTGAAACCCCCCTGCTGATGTGCAGTTGTTGACTTGCGTGAAACAATTGTGCAGTGCACTGCAATATGTGAGTCTATTGGAGGGGAAGGTTCCGTAGATATAACTTTGCTCGAAGGACAGGTAAGCCAAGGAAGTGGAGATGGCTGGAAGAGTGCCGGTAAGACAGTTGAAGTTCAGGTTCCTACAACACAATGGGTGTGACAAACAATGCAGCAAAGATACACAAATTGTGAATTGCTTACTGAACTGGAGCAATGTTAAGGAAATTGGAACAATCCCCCCAAAATGGAAAAGGGATATGTGCAAAGCATCAAATTCATGTGGTACACCAAGCACATGGTGATGAGGCACATGGCGATGAGGCACATGGCGATGAGGCACATGGTGGTAGCAGTATCTGACAGGAAAAAGGCCCACAGCTCTGTGAGGTGGGGCAGTGCCAGACGGGCAGCTGGCATGGAGCCGTAGAGCCAGCTGTACTGCAGTGCAGCTCACTGGACATTTGAGACGTCTCAGACAAAAGCAAGATACTCGGTTGTTGAAATGAGAGGAGGAGACCCACAGCTTTGTGAGGCGAGGCAGTGCCAGATGGGCAGCTGGCACGAAGGTGTAGAGCCAATTGTACTGCAGCTGACTGGACTTTTGAGACGTCCCAGAAGGAGGTAGGAGACTCACAGCCTTGTGAGGCGAGGCAGTGACAGAAGGACGGATGGAATGGTGCCGTACAGCCAGTTGTACTGCAGCTGGCTGGAGTGGGGCAGACAATACAGTCAGTGGGTGAAATAATGCGAGTCAATGTTGGTAAACGAGAATATGTGAGTCAATGCTGGTCAACAGCGATACATGAGTCAATGTTTGCCAATGGCACGTCACACACACGTTCAGCATGTCGTGGTCGGTGAGTCAATGGCACGTGCCATTGACGTCACACGTCAATGGCACGACAGCAGTGGAAAGTAGGATATTCTACTGCTGGCGGCTACATGCGGTTTTTGAGAATTCTCAAAAAGAGATAACAGTACCGTATCAAGGCATGCCATGGCATTAAAATGTCATTGCATACCCCTGCTTGCTTATCATGCTGATTACGCTGTACCACCGCATGGCATGGCATGGCATGGCATGGCACACTCACATCATCTTGAGATTAGTGAGAGTTGAGAGGGGGGAGACTATGCTTCTGAGCGACATCCAAAAGAGGTTGGCATGGAGACTCCTGCGGGAAAACGAGGTGACTTTTGAGTCGACTCGACTTTTGAGGTGACTTTTGAGTCGACTCAGAGGTTGGCATGGAGACTCCTGCGGGAAAAATTAGACATAGACGATTTCCTTTTTTTGAGGCGCCTCAAAAGGTGTCCCAAGGAGAGTCCCGTGCAGGATGACATGCAAATAGAGGATTACTGAGGCGCCTCAAAAGAGGTCCGGAGAAATCGAGACTTCTTGCAGGGAGACATGTTGGGTGAAAAGAAAAAGGGAAAGTTTGCAATGAACGTGGACATACATGGGGAATGTGCACGTAAGGGGCATAAATGAGTGAATGCACAGAAGCATACATGATGTGCATGTGTCCAAGCACATGCATGGATGCACATACATGGTGTATGCATGCACATTACAGGTGAGTGAGAGTAGTGAACTTGCTGATGTCTGCATGGAGGGGCCCTTGCAGCTGCTGGTAGCTGAAGCTTGTGTCACTCTTGAGATTTCTCACAAGATTTCGCAATCGTTTTTTCACAAGTGAATCAGTGACACAGGCAAAGCCTTACAGGTGAGTGAGAGTGGTGAGCTTGCTGATGTCCGCATGGAGGGACCCTTTCAGCTGCTGGTAGCTCAAGTCCCTGCCAGGGTGGAAGGGGAGGGGGAGGGGGAGGGGGAGGAGAGAGAGGGAGATGTGTTAGCAGATCTCTTGCCTTCAGACACACAGCCCCCCGTCGAAACATGAGTCAGGGTGTCTCTTGCCTTCAGACACACAGCCCCCCGTCGAAACATGAGTCAGGGTGTCTCTTGCCTTCAGACACACAGCCCCCCGTCGAAACATGAGTCAGGGTGTCTCTTGCCTTCAGACACACAGCCCCCCGTCGAAACATGAGTCAGGGTGTCTCTTGCCTTCAGACACACAGCCCCCCGTCGAAACATGAGTCAGGGTGTCTCTTGCCTTCAGACACACAGCCCCCCGTCGAAACATGAGTCAGGGTGTCTCTTGCCTTCAGACACACAGCCCCCCGTCGAAACATGAGTCAGGGTGTCTCTTGCCTTCAGACACACAGCCCCCCGTCGAAACATGAGTCAGGGTGTCTCTTGCCTTCAGACACACAGCCCCCCGTCGAAACATGAGTCAGGGTGTCTCTTGCCTTCAGACACACAGCCCCCCGTCGAAACATGAGTCAGGGTGTCTCTTGCCTTCAGACACACAGCCCCCCGTCGAAACATGAGTCAGGGTGTCTCTTGCCTTCAGACACACAGCCCCCCGTCGAAACATGAGTCAGGGTGTCTCTTGCCTTCAGACACACAGCCCCCCGTCGAAACATGAGTCAGGGTGTCTCTTGCCTTCAGACACACAGCCCCCCGTCGAAACATGAGTCAGGGTGTCTCTTGCCTTCAGACACACAGCCCCCCGTCGAAACATGAGTCAGGGTGTCTCTTGCCTTCAGACACACAGCCCCCCGTCGAAACATGAGTCAGGGTGTCTCTTGCCTTCAGGTCACACAATTCCCTCAGAGGGCGCACTCACAGGAAAGTCACATTCCCCGTGGCATCACAGCGCACGCCCGTCCACGCCTGCCCCGGCCACGGGTTGGTGGCGCTGAGAGGAGGTAGGTCGCACAATACCCACAGAGAGCGCACTCACAGGAAAGTGACACTCCCCGTGGCGTCACAGCGCACGCCCGACCATGTCTGGCCAGGCCACGGGTTGGTGCCGTCTATGGAACACGGCATGCTTGAAACCCATGTTGTGTGCGTCACTCCCAGGGTTGACTTGAGGGCTAGGAGAGTAGATGCTGCGTGGATGGAGGGGAAGGAGGAAGGGAGAGAGATGAACGACACAGGACACGCTTGAGACCGATGTTGTGTGCGTGGGTCAGTCCGAGGGTTGACTTGAGGGCTAGGAGGGCAGATGCTGCATGGCGAGGGGATGGGGTTGGCATGCGGATGGACGGGGAACAGGGTATGGGGAAGGGAGAGGGATGAATGGCACAGGGCACGCTTGATTGATTCCCATGTTGTGTGTCACTTCGAGGGTTGACTTGAGGGCTCGGAGAGCAGATGCTGCGTGGGAGGTTGGTGGGATGTCGATACAAGGGAGAAAGATGGAAGGGAGAGGGGAGAACGGTTGGGAAGAGTGATAATGGCACAGGGCACGCCTGCGAGCCATTCTGAGACGTCTCAAAAAATCACTCTTAGCATGGGAGGTAGGGAGGTAGTGACAGTCGGGAGTGACAGTCGGGAGTGGCAGTCGGGAGTGGCAGTCGGGAGTGGCAGTCGGGAGTGGCAGTCGGGAGTGGCAGTCGGGAGTGGCAGTCGGGAGTGGCAGTCGGGAGTGACAGTCGGGAGTGGCAGTCGGGAGTGACAGTCGGGAGTGGCAGTCGGGAGTGACAGTCGGGAGTGGCAGTCGGGAGCGACAGTCGGGAGTGGCAGTCGGGACTGGCAGTCGGGAGTGGCAGTCGGGAGTGACAGTCGGGAGTGACAGTCGGGAGTGACAGTCGGGAGTGACAGTCGGGAGTGACAGTCGGGAGTGACAGTCGGGAGTGACAGTCGGGAGTGACAGTCGGGAGTGACAGTCGGGAGTGACAGCCGGGAAGGCGGATACTCACAGAAGGAGGAGCGGATGGTGACGACAGTTGAGCCTGATGGGAACAAGCAGAGGTATGCATGGCGCGCATGGCACGCATGGCACGCACGCAAGGGAAGAGAAGGGAAGCATGATGAGGAGCCGTTTGCACAGGGGGACAGCAGGAGCGGGAGACACATGGGAAGGAGAGCGAGGAGAACTCATAGCTTTGTGAATGGTTGTTCTGAACGTGCACCAGCAAGGTCATGGGAAGAGCTGGGCGCGTGGTCTGATACGCTGCACACACGCTGCACACACGCTGCACACACGCTGCACACGCCACCCATTCTCGCATTGCAGAGCCTTGTATAGAGAGGGTGTTTTTGAGACGTCTCAGAATCGCAGAGCCTCGTATATGCGCACCAACACAGGTCATGGCAAGAATGGGCCGCGTCTGCTGCACACTGTCAAAAGGCCTCTTATATGCGCACCAACACAGGTCATGGCAAGAATGGGCCGCGTCTGCTGCACACTGTCAAAAGGCCTCTTATATGCGCACCAACACAGGTCATGGCAAGAATTGGGCGTGTGGGCCCGTTGGGAATGCCTTGAGAAGCCGCTGCTGCAGCGTCTGCTGTGCACACACCGTCCCAGCACACACTCCCTGCTGCCGCATCACCCATCCCACACACTGTACACTCCCTGCTGCCGCATCACCCATCCCACACACTGTACACTTCCTGCTGCCGCATCACCCATCCCACACACTGTACACTCCCTGCTGCCGCATCACCCATCCCACACACTGTACACTCCCTGCTGCCGCATCACCCATCCCACACACTGTACACTCCCTGCTGCCGCATCACCCATCCCACACACTGTACACTCCCTGCTGCCGCATCACCCATCCCACATACTGTACACTCCCTGCTGCCGCATCACCCATCCCACACACTGTACACTCCGCTGCAGCCCTCTGCCTCGTTCCGTAGAAATTGCCGAAGCACCAGGGGTCCTTGAGGTCTCTAATCTGGTCCTCTGCTTCGTTCCGTAGTATTTGCAGTCGTGTTTTGAGTCGACTCAAAACACTGCTGTGTGCACACACCATCCCAACACACACCTCCCATTCCTGAAAAGCCTTGAATTTACCCACCTACGCAAGACATGGCAAGAGTGGGCCGTGTGGGCCCGTTGGGAATGCCTTGAGACGCCACTGCTGCAGCGTCTGCTGTGCACACACCGTCCCAGCACACATTCCCTGCTGCCGCATCACCCATCCCACACACTGTGCACTCCGCTGCCGCCCTCTGCTTCGTTCCGTAGAAATTGCACGAGGAGGAGGGGGAGGAGGAGGAGAAGCAGTTGTTCTCGGCGGCGCAGAATTTGAGGGAGTGAGGAGGGAGGGAGCCTGAGAGGAAGTTGTGGGCAACATCTAGGCCCACGAGGGATGAGGGGATGGGAGGGATGGTGCCTGTGAGATAGTTGGAGAAGAGGCCTCTACGGTGGGGAAGGGGAGAGTGAAAAGGGAGAAGGGAAAACAAAAAGGAAAAAAGAGGGAACATGATTTCAGATATTGTTGAGCGCCATCTTAGCTGCTTCTGCTCTCCGCTAAGACATGTCATCAGCTTATGATGGAGAGAGATTAGCTAAGACACGTCATCTGGTGATGATGGAGACGAGGCCTCTAGGACAGGGACGCGAGAAAAGAAAGGGAAAACGTTTCATGTTTTAGTCGATTGAAGAACCAATCTGGAAAAGAAGTTTCAAAAGGTTTCAGGAAGATTTGTGAGTCAACTCATAACAAGGTTTTAAGAGGTCTTTGGTCCTGATACACACCGTCACGTACAGGCCTTTCCAGTCGACTCAAAAGAGGTCTTAGGTTTTCATGCACGGCGTCACTTACAGGCCTGTGAGTGACGGTAGGGCAAAGAGTGACGATGGGATAGAGCCGATGAACCAGTTATAGTGAAGGAACCTGTAACGAGTACGAGGGACAGGAGAAATGCGTGGAAAGCGATCATAACGTGCTCACTAAGTCACAGCCACAGGTCATACTTTTGAGAATTTTCTAAAGTTCCTGACTTTTGAGTCGACTCAAAGGTCCCTGAGTTGTGGGACTACTAGGCAATGAGGAGAGGGGCTAATGTGACTTCTGAGTCGCGTAAAAAAGGCGAATGTGAGGGCGAATGTGAGGGCGAATGTGAGGGCGAATGTGAGGGCGAATGTGAGGGCGAATGTGTCCCTGTGTTGGTGGGACAACAAGGCAGTGAGAAGAGAGGCTAATGTGACTTCTGAGTCGCAGTGAGGAGAAAGCCCTTAGGTCACCCTACCCTTCAACGGATCAGTCACAGCACTCATCCCCACACATACATAGAGCACACAACTTCTGCTTTGGTATGAGCAAAACACTCACAGGTCTTTGAGGGACGACAAGGCTGTGAGGGTCGAGACGAAAGTGAGGAGACGCGCCTGAAAGAGGTTGTAACCAAGGTCCCTGGGGGTTGGACGAGGGGAGAGGATGGAAACCATGAGATGCGAGTAAGGCAGTGAGGGGTTGTGCAGGGGGGTGGAAGGAGGGATGTCCTGTGAAAGAGGTTGTAACCGAGGTCCCTGGGAGAGAGTGATGTGGGTGCGTGAATATGGAAGGGTGGTGGAAAGCGGGGTGAAGGTACGAGAAAGAAAGACGGCTGCATGTTGCACAAAGGTAGAGAGGCCTGCACCGCCCGCTCATGCGCTGCACCGCCCGCTCATGCGCTGCACCGCCCGCTCATACGCTGCACCGCCCGCTCATACGCTGAACCACCCGCTCATACGCTGCACCGCCCGCTCATGCGCTGCACCGCCCGCTCATGCGCTGCACCGCCCGCTCATACGCTGCACCGCCCGCTCATACGCTGAACCACCCGCTCATACGCTGCACCGCCCGCTCATGCGCTGCACCGCCCGCTCATGCGCTGCACCGCCTGCTCATACGCTGCACCGCCCGCTCATACGCTGCACCGCCCGCTCATACGCTGCACCGCCCGCTCATACGCTGCACCACCTGCTCATACGCTGCACCACCCGCTCATACGCTGCACCTCCCGCTCATACAGTGCACCGCACGCTCATACGCTGCACCGCCCGCTCATACGCTGCACCGCCCGCTCATACAGTGCACCGCACGCTCATATGCTGCACCGCCCGCTCATACGCTGCACCGCACGCTCATACGCTGCACTGCCCGCTCATACGCTGCACCGCCCGCTCATACGCTGCACCGCACTCTCATACGCTGCACCGCACACTCATACGCTGCACCGCCCGCTCATACGCTGAACCGTCCGCTCATACAGTGCACCGCACGCTCATACGCTGCACCGCCCGCTCATACGCTGCACCGCCCGCTCATACAGTGCACCGCACGCTCATATGCTGCACCGCCCGCTCATACGCTGCACCGCACGCTCATACGCTGCACTGCCCGCTCATACGCTGCACCGCCCGCTCATACGCTGCACCGCACACTCATACGCTGCACCGCACACTCATACGCTGCACCGCCCGCTCATACGCTGAACCGTCCGCTCATACGCTGCCCCGCCCGCTCATACGCTGCACCGCCCGCTCATACGCTGCACCGCCCGCTCATACGCTGCACCGCCAGCTCATACGCTGCACCGCCCGCTCATACGCTGCACCGCCCGCGAATATGCTGCACCGCACACTCATACGCTGCACTGCCCGCTCATACGCTGCACCGCCCGCTCATACGCTGCACCACCCGCTCATACGCTGCACCACCCGCTCATACGCTGCACCACCCGCTCATACGCTGCACCTCCCGCTCATACAGTGCACCGCACGCTCATACGCTGCACCGCCCGCTCATACGCTGCACCGCACGCTCATACGCTGCACCGCCCGCTCATACGCTGCACCGCCCGCTCATATGCTGCACCGCACACTCATACGCTGCACCTCCCGCTCATACAGTGCACCGCACGCTCATACGCTGCACCGCCCGCTCATACGCTGCACCGCCCGCTCATACAGTGCACCGCACGCTCATATGCTGCACCTGTCGGAGTTACTGCTGTGCTCTCACCTCAAGGGTCCTCCCTGAGTGGTGTGCCACCTGTCTGCAAAGCTTAGGCAACAACAGTCCACTATACGAAAGGATAACAAACGGAAAGCATCAGGTGTGTGTGTGGGAGTGAATTTACCTGGCCCAGGCTCGAACCGTGCATTTCTCAATGTGCGGCTCGAGCCTGGGTTGGGTTCGTTCACATAGGTTGCGTGGATTTCACCCCTCGGTGCTCTCCTACCAACTTCGCGTCAATTTCCCAGCTCCCACCTACCTATCCTTGAACCTGCATACAACACATAACTACACCCGCACTACACCACAACATTACTGGCACCTTATATGCACAACCGTGCATATTCGGTGACAGCTGTCGGAGTTACTGCTGTGCTCTCATCTGCCTTAGTTCTCCTGGTCTGCTTCTCCTTAGTCTCGTCTGTTGCCTCAGCCACTCTCTGCCCCCTCCTGTGCCCGTGCTCGAGCGGCTTGAGCGCGGGTCACAGGACCAGTACGCTGAGGCCCTGTCCCCCTGATCACTGCTGTGTTCGTCTGATGTTCTCTCAGCTGCGCCCCCGTGTCGTTTTCCAAGACCAGCACCCCTGAGGGGCGCACCTCCTTGACTTTCCAGCGGACCGTCCCCAATCCCACGTCAAGGGTGTCCTAAGGGTGTCCTGTTTGGCTCTCTTCAGGTAAACTTCCTGTCCTTCGCAAACGCCCCTTGCTGCTCTATCCTCCCCTTTGTGTTGCCTTTGCTCGTATCTCCTGGCGTCTCTGAGCTGTGCGGTGTGCAGGTTCTCCAGCGCGGCTGGCATCATGCAGCGCATGTAGCGCGCTCTCACATCGGACAGGGCTACCCAGTTCTTGATCGTGCCCGCTGTCACTGTGTCTGTCAATACCCGTGGTGCCCCCACCGGCAGGATCGGCTCTCGTCCGAATAGCAGACTATATGGGGAATGATCCTTCAATGCTGCCTGTTTCCCGAACCTGTACCCTGCTGCTATCCACTCCAATTCCTCATCCCAATCCCTCTTCCGCTGCTCCCCGTAGGCCCGTAGTCCTCGCTTGAAGGTTTGCACGGCTCGCTCAGTCAGCCCGTCGCTCTGCGGGTGATAGCGGGAGGTCCTTCGGTGCGTGATGCCAGACTCCGCCAGCAACTTCTTGAACTCCCCTTGGAACTCTGTTCCCTGATCTGTGAGCACCTCCCCGCACGCTCCAAATCGGCACACCACCTGCGCCTTGAAGACTGCTGCAATGTGCCTCGCGCTCTTGCTTGGGATGGCTCGCACCTCCAGCCACTTGCTCACATGTTCCACCATGAACACTATATACTGATTCCCGCTCCTACTCAGCGGCAGCTCTCCTGCGAGATCCAAGGACCATCGGAACCCTAGCCCGCAGATTGGCAGTGAGTGCAGCTCTGCTTTGGCCTGCGTCAGGTTTGCCTTGCTCCTCTGACACGCCTCGCACCCCTCCACCCACTCTTTCACTTGTCTGCGCATCCCTTCCCACCACCAGCCCGTCTTTAGCAGGTGTACGGTCCTCTCGTGCCCAAAGTGCCCCAGCTTACTGTGCACTTCCTTGATCACTGCTTCACGGTCCTTGGGCGCAGGCACCAGCTTCCAGCCATCCTTCGTCTTGATCTGCAGCTGCTGCTGATACCACCTGTAATGGTGCCCTCGTGCCCTCACCCGCTCAGGCACTGTCTCATCTTCCTCGGTTTCTCCCTGCACCCATTCCATTGCCTTTGCATCCAGCCAGATGTCAGCTGGCCCCTTACTCCCTTTAGCACCTGTCTGCTCCACCTCTCTTGCCAGTAAGATCAAGGTCTGCGCTGGCTCCTGCTCTGCCTCGTCAGTCCCCTGTGTTGTCTGTGTCGTTTCCAGCGGCGGTGGGTTGCGGGAGAGGCCATCAACGTGCTGTAGCGTCTTCCCCGGCCTGTGCCTGATCTTGAAATCATATTCCTGCAGCTTCACTGCCCACCGCGCGTTCCTCCCTGTCAGCCCTGGTGTGGTCATCAGCCATGTGAGGGGCTGATGGTCAGTGACTAGGGTGAATTCTCGGCCCTGCAGGTATATCCGGAAATGCCCGACCGCCCACACTGCCGCCAGCCCCTCCCCGATGTATGAGCTGTACTGTGCTTCCGCTGGGTTGCAGCTCCTGCTGGCGTAGGCCACCACCTTCTCCACTCCCTCCACCTCCTGGCACAGTATTGCCCCCATCCCTTGGCTGCTCCAGTCGGTGTACAGGATGAAGGGCTGGTCTGCTGCTGGCAGCCGCAGCACTGTCGCTGTCTTCACGGCTGTCATGAGGTCTTGCAGCGCTCCTCTCTGCATCTCTCCCCACTCCCATGCCTTGTCATCGCGCAGCATCCCATTCAGTACCGTCGCTCGCTTGCTGAAGTTCGGTACGAAGCGCCTGTAGTAGCTGAGGAAGCCCAAGACCGCACGCAGTCCTGATTTGTCTCGCGGTTCCCTTAGCCTGTCCAGCACTTGCACCTTCGCTTGCTGGATCCCAATCTGCCCCCCTGTGACCTCGTACCCCAGGTACTGCACTGTCCGCTCCCCCCACCTGCATTTGTTGGGATGGCACGTGAGCCCTGCCCCTTCTATGGCAGTCAGTGTCTTCTCCACATCCTCCAGGTGCTGCTGCTCGGTCAAGCTGAAGATCACGACATCATCGATATAGCACGCCGCATGTTCTATTCCCCGTAGCACCGCGTCCATAACTCTCTGGAACACCGCCGAGGCGTTCCTCAGACCGAAGGGCATGTACAGCCACTCGTACAGCCCATCCGGTCCGTAGAAGGCCGTTTTCTTCACGTCCTCCTCTCTGATCTTGATTTGATTAAACCCCTGTCGCAGGTCCAGCGTTGTGAAGAACACCCCGTCAGCCAACTTGTCAAAGAGCTCTTCTGCCATTGGCATTGGGTATCTATCTGGCACTGTAACTTTGTTGAGATCCCTGTAATCCCCGCACATCCTCCTACTCAGCACCTCGCCTGTCAAGTCCTTCCGGGCTGCCACCACGGTTGGGGTGGCGTACTCGGACTCTGACCTCCTAATCAGTCCGGCTTCCAGTAACTCCTTTATCTTCTCCCTGCAGATCGCTTCATCCCCTAGTGGCATCTTCCTCCTGCGGTGGAACACCGGCTCATCACTATTCAGCTTCAGCGCCATCTCTTTGATCTTGCACTTCCCCAACTCCAGCAGGGTGAAGGCAAAGCCCTTCCTATGCTTGGCCAGTAGTGCCCGCATTGCTGCCCTCCCTTCCTCGCTCATGCTCTCACCTATCTTCCACTCTGGCTCCTGTTTCTGCAGGCAGGCCCACACCCCTTGCCTAACCGTCGCCACTGTGTTTTCTCCCTCCTTCAATCCCCAGTGCAGCACTGTCTCTCTCCACATCCGCTGCACCAACCACCTCATCATGTACCCGTCCATTGCATTCCCCATTGCCCGCCTCCGTTCCTGTTCACTCACGCCAGGGGCTGCTGTAGCGCTCTCCTTGTACCCCATGGCCAGCTCCCTCTCCAAGGCCGTGGGCTCCTCCCACCGTCCCTTCCTGTGGTCAAGCACTAATCCTGGGCCTGGCTGCTTCCCGTCCATCCGATATCCTGCTGCCCCCTCATATGACACCAGCGTAGGTAGTGCTTGCCTCTCCTGCCCCACCTGGTTGCATGGATAATGTCGGCTGTAGCTCCTCTTGTTCACTGGTGCTGGCGTTCTTCCTGGCTCCAGTATATCGCTCAGCTTCCGCCCCCCTGCTCTCTGCACCCCTTCTATCTCCTTCTGCAGGTCTTCCACTGGCACCACATTCTGCCAGTACATCCTGAGCCTGTGTGCATATGCTCCCATCCGCGTCGCGTCACTGCTCACCCCCTTCCCCACCTGTCTGGTCACTCGCTCCCTTACCAGTCTTATTGGTTCTCGCACATCTCCTTCCATATCTAAGTGCTCCAGCAGGTAAGCCACTCTGCCTTGCCTAGCCTGCATCCACTCCATGACTCTGAACAGATCCTCCATCAGTTGTGTTCGTAGGTCTTGCTCACCCTTGCCCTTCCCTGCCCATGATACCCCTTGGCATCCCCACCCAGCCACCAACAGGTCCACGTGCCCCCAGCTTGCCACCTCAACTTCCGTAATGGCCCTTACGTCATTCACTCCTCTGCTCATTGCTGCCTTGATCACCTCTCCCTTCAGCAGTTCCGGGAACTCGCTGTGCAACTCCCACGCATGATGCTCCGCCATTTTCCTTACTTCTGGTGCCTTCTCCACGTAAATCCACTGCTTCACTGCAATCCCATTCCGCACCACTGCTGCCAGTCCCGCCCCTATTCCTCCGAACAGTTCCACCAGCCGGATAGGTTGCTGCCAATCGGTCTGCTGGCTAGGCTCGTCCATGAAGCGCATCCTGGGCTCTCCACCCTGTCCCTTGCCTGTCGTGCTCTCCTGTGCCCCCTGTTTCGCTGTCATCTCCTTCAGACCTGCCCTGTAAGCCCTTTTTGGCTCTGTCCTGACAAACTGCACAGGCAGCTGCCCTAGTGGCTCACCCTTCCTCCACCACCTGGTTCTGAACTCCACTGTCTCCTTCCAAAAGCAGATGGTCATGCCCAATGCAAAAATCATCTCCGTGCCCACCAGGACGTCAAAATCTTCAGATTCTGAGATCCCGCACCTGATCCTAACCGGCGTTTCGTGTTTCTCCCCCTTCAGCACCGTCAGTTCTATTGGAGTCCTTGTACACGGCATCCACTTCGACTCTCCTCCCTCTGCCGTCATCACTAGCATCCCCTTCACTACATGCCTGTCTGGTGCCCACAGTCCCAGCTTCTCGGCCATCCCCTTCCCTAGTATCACGCTCTGCGCGCCAGTGTCTATAATAGCCGTCTTGGCCTTCTCCCCTTCTACAGACAACGCGCCACCTTGGATCAGCAGCACGGAAGTCTGGCAAGCCAACCTCTCCTGGGGGTGCCGTGCCGCTGTGCATCTTTCTTCCCTCTCTTCCGGTTTCTGTCCTCTCTCCCGTTCCTTTCTCACCTGCTCCTTCCGTGCATCCTTTCCTCCGCTGTGCAGCCCCATCTCCTCCCTTCCTCTCCATGCCATATATGCTGGTTGCTCCTCGTGTTCCATCTCATTCTCTGCTCTTCCTGCCCAGATCATGAACGCGGCTTCCTCATCCTGCTCCACATCTTCCTCCTTTTCCTCCCCGCTTCTGCTTCGCGTCGTGGTCCCATTGCGTGCAGCTGGGCTTGTAGCCTGCTAATCTGCCTCTCCAGGTCTTCTGGCGTCTTTTTCGCCGCTCCCTCTCGCTGGTAACACTCTTTCGCTGCATGCCCTCCCTTCCCACAGACTTCACACTTTGGCGCTGTTGGGCACTCCCGCCGCCGATGCCCTGGCTTGCCACAAGAGTCACAGTTCTTGCAGTCTCTGCGTAAGTGTCCTGGCTGCCCGCACCTGTGGCACGTCCGAGTGTCAGGCCTGGTCTCCCCTCTTCCCGCAGCCCTGTCCCTCTCTTCCGGTATCATGGCTGCCGCCCACGTAGGTCCCCTGCCTCGTTCTGCTGGTCAAGGCCTGTATGCTTCATACTTCCTCTGTGCCAGCTCCATCTTCTCTGCCATCTCAAACACCTCCTCTAGCGTCGTGTCAGCCCCCATCTCGTACACTTTCATCCGCAGCCCGCTCCCTAAAGCGCCCTCCAGCCCGTCCAGAAACTTGCTCACGAGCAGGCCCATATCTACGCAAGTCACATCCTCCGCCAGGTTGACCAGCCGGTTGTAGTAGGTGAGTAGTGACTCGCCCCGCCCCTTCCTGAAATCTTGGAACTCCCTTATCTTCTCTGCGGTGTGGCCTGGGAACTGCCGCTTCAGGCGCCTCAGGAATTCTTCCGTTGGGTCTTCCCCATACCTCCCTGCCCTCTCCAGTAGCTCATCCATCTTCATCCTGTACAGTGTCTCTGCCTCCCCCTCCAGCGTGTTTGGCAGACTCAGAAAGAAGTCTACTGCGTCCATGCCGCTCCTCTCGCATCTGTACCGCACATTGCCCACTTGCATCGGGTAATTCTTCAGCGTGGGCCCCAGACGCTGATCCCCTGAGAAGCGTGCTGGCACTTCCACTCTCGTGACCATTGCTGTGCTTCCCCTACCTTCTCCCCAGGCCTCACTCGGCCCTCCTGCTGATCTGCCAGATGCTCCCTTCTCTCTCGCCCGCAGTATCCCTTCCCTTGCCTCTCTGGCTCGCTCCAGGATGTGCATCAGCCCGCTGCCCCCCTCTCTGCTGTCGCGTTGATCCCATCCTCCCTCACCGTCACGTCTTCCATCACGTTGCCCATACCGGCCAGGCGAGCGAGACCCACCGCCGCGCCTTTCATTCTCGCTCTGTTGCTTGTGCTGCGAGCGGTATCCGCCTCCCCTGTTTCCTTCATGCCGCAGGTGCCGTTCGGGCGAGCGGTAGCCGCCTCCGCGCCTCTCCTCTCGAGAGTCATACGGATCTGGTGAGCGCGAATCCCCTCCGCTTCTCCAGTCGTGATACTTCCGAGGATCTGGCGAGCGCGCGTTGCCTCCGCGCCCACTTTCCCTGTGCTGTCGCGGCTCTGGCGAGCAGTGGCCGCCTCCTCGCCTCTCCTCACGCAGCGGCCGCAATTCTGGCGAGCGGTAACCGCTTCCTCGCCTCTCGTCATGCTGCCGCCGTGGCTCTGGTGAGCGCACGCCGCCACCGCGCTCCCCGTCACGGTTCTGCCGCTGATCTGGCGAGCGCGCGCCGCCACCACGTCTCCCGTCACGATTCAGCCGCGGATCTGGCGAGCGCGCACTGCCTCCGCGTCTCCCGTCACGATACAGCCGCGGATCTGGCGAGCGTGCACCGCCGCCGCGTCCCCCGTCACGATGCAGCCGCGGATCTGGCGAGCGCTCACCACCGCCGCGTCCCTTTTCGGGATACAGCCGCGGATCTGGCGAGCGCGCACCGCCTCCGCGTCCTCCGTCACGATTCAGCCGCGAATCCGGCGAGCGCACGCCGCCGCTGCGACTCTCGCCCCTTTGTTGACGCGGATCTGGAGAGCGCGAGCCACTGCCACGCTTCCCGCCGTCACCCTTCTCTCCGCCGCGCGGCTGGTCTCGAGTACTGCCCTTTTCGTCCGCCTCCGCCGCACTTGTCTCCACCGCCACGCCCGCCTGCACGGGATCGTCGTCGTTGACTCCAGCGGGCATTTCGCGCTGCTCGCCTGCGCCTTCCTTCTGGGATTCGTCATCGCCCTTGGCCTCGCCTTCGCGATCCGTCTCCCGCACTTGATTCGCCGTATCGGCCTGGCGACCCGAGAAGAGCTCCTCCAGGCCTCGCCCGCGACTTCGATCTTCGCGACGGCGATAACCTTCCTCCGGCGAGCGGTAAGCTCCCGTGTCCTGGCGGTACTCATGGCCGCCATCGGCTCCGCGGCGTCCGTCCGTCCGCCACGGGTCGCTTCCCATCATGGCAGATCCAGATCCGCCCCTCCCTTCTCGAGCTGCACCGCACACTCATACGCTGCACCGCACACTCATACGCTGCACCGCCCGCTCATACGCTGAACCGTCCGCTCATACGCTGCACTGCATGCATGCGCGGGCATGCATGCATACATACATAGTACATGTGTGAGCAAGTATGCATACACCTATGCAAATGGTAGTATAGACACATGCGCATGCATGTAAAGACACATGCACACAACATACATGTATAGGCGCATGCACACAACATACATGTATGTAAGCCCCGTCAATTTGGAGATGCTCGAATGGACAGTCCCGATAAGGCCCTGGCGATTGAGATTGCTGTGGTGTAGTGGATGGGAGTGGTAGGGTTGCAACAACGAGCGGAGAGAAGGTGCGGGGAAGGTGAGAGGAGATGGACTGTTGGTTGAGATTGCTGTGGTGTGGTGGATGGGGGTGGTAAGCATGCAACACGAAGGGGAGAGAAGGGGCTGTGGAGTGAAGGGGTGGTGGGAGAGAGAGATAACAGAAACAGCAGCAGACAGCAACAGAGGATGCAACAGCAGCACAGCAACCTTCCAGCATTCTCAGAAGGGCAACAAGGAGGAAAAGGAAGGTTGCCCTCCTCCTGTACAACAGTCATCTGCTCGTTACACTCACATCAACTTCTCGTTACACTCACATCAACTTCTCGTCACACTCACATCAACTTCTCGTTACACTCACATCAACTTCTCGTTACACTCACATCAACTTCTCATTACACTCACATCAACTTCTCGTTACACTCACATCTTGACAACTGCCCCGGCTGCATTACACTCAACGACCTTCCACGCACTCGCAGCAGCTGACGTGGGGGGCAGAGGAGGTGGGGAAGGGCACTCGAATCTACTCTCACTACACTCACACCCACTCACAACAACTTCTCGTCACACTCACATCTTCACGACAGCACCAGCTGCATTACACTCGACGCCCTTCCATGCACTCGCAGCAGCAGACGCAGGTATAGGAGCCGCCAAGGCCCCAGCCACCGAGCAGAGATACGCCAGTGAAGGCGAGGAGGCAGTGGGAAAGGAGGCAGACGTTGAAACCACCCCCATAACGGTCGCAGTAGGAACGGAGGCCCATGAGGAGAGAGTCACTCCCAGGGACGACTTCAGAGCCAGCATGGCCTGAGATGATCCCGAGGCCATGCCGATGAGAGCGCAGAACATCGGGAGCAGCGGAGACGAGGAGGTGTACGGCGTGCCCTTGCTGAAAGGGACCGAGGCGTTCGGAGCACATGAGCCTCCCCCGCATAGCACCTGGGAGGACCCCGGTGCAGGTACCACCCAGCCTGTACCTGCTGGATCCGCTGCCATGGTGACGTTGCAGATGGAGCACGCAGCAGGGGTGCGCTGGGTGGTGGCGGTGGACACGCAGTTGGAAGCCTGGGAGAAACAGTTGCTGGTGGCGGTGCAGTAAGTGGCGGAGTGGGGGGGGAAGGAGCCTGAGAGGAAGTTGTGCTGCAGGTCGATGTATTTGAGGGCCGGGCCCGGGGCTGGGAAGGTTCCGGTGAGGTAGTTGCGGAAGAACTTGCTGCAGAAAGGGGGAGGGGGGAGGGTAGGGGGAAGGGGGTGGGGAGGGGGGTGGGACGGGGGTTTTTGAGGCGCCTCAAACGCCAGGTGCCGGGAAAGGTACATTCATGTGTGAGGTAGATGCAAAAGAGTTTTGAGACGTCTCAAAACTCGTCTCGGAACTTGTCTCAAAACTTGAGGCGCCTCAAACGCCGTAGATTCATGTGAGGTAGATGCAAAAGAATTTTGAGGCGCCTCAAGCGCCAGGTGCTGGGAAAGGTTCCTTTTGAGACTTCTCAGAAGTGAGATAGATGCAAAAGAACTGGGGCTTTACGTTGAGGGAGGAAGAGGGAGGTGTGGGGATAGGATAGGGGCAGGGGAGGTTGAGGGGGGGGAGGGTTCCTAAAGCAAATCTACGAAACAGATTACAGAAGGAGCAAACAAGGGAATGAATGAATCTTTTACCCCTGCTACAAAATCGACTTACATCCAGTAGAGGTTGGGAAGGGCAATGAGGGCAGTGGGTATGGTGCCATACAGCCAGTTCTGGTGAATATGCCTAAAACGGGGACAGGGGGGGAGGGTGATGATCCAAGCAGGAAAAAGGGCGGCGGAAAGAAAGTAGTAGGAAGCACCATAAAGATTGATAACAGTAGATGAAGGTTATATATATAGACATATACATTAATAAAAAGCCTTGTTGAGCACATCATAAACACATGAGCGCAGCACATCATGTTTGCACCAAGGGAGAAGCATGCACGCACAGGTTGGCGATCCAAGTTCATATTGGGAGTAGCAGCACATCATGTTTGCACCTGGGCCATTGCATGCACGCACAGGTCCGCAAGGGTGGTGAGCGGCAGCAGGTTGGACGTGAACGCGGCGAGCCGCTGCACTAAGAGGTTGGTGCCCAGCCCTCTGTCAGGGGGAGGGAAGACAGAGGGGGAGGGGACAGCAGAGGTGGAGGAAGGGAAGACATCACAGCTCATCACAGCTCATCACAGCTCATGACAGCTCATCACAGCTCATCACAGCTCATCACAGCTCATCACAGCTCATGACAGCTCATGACAGCTCATGACAGCAGGTTGGATGTGAACGCGGCTAACGGTTGAGCACAGAGGTTGGTGCCCAGACCTCTGCCAGCGGGAGGGAACACGAGGGGGAGGAGGTACAGGAAGGAAGGCGGGAGGACGAGGTGAGGTGGGAAAAGAGGTGAGGTGGGAAAAGAGGTGAGGTGGGAAAAGAGGTGAGGTGGGAAAAGAGGTGAGGTGGGAAAAGAGGTGAGGTGGGAAAAGAGGTGAGATGGGAAAAGAGGTGAGGTGGGAAAAGAGGTGAGGTGGGAAAAGAGGTGAGATGGGAAAAGAGGTGAGGTGGGAAAAGAGGTGAGGTGGGAAAAGAGGTGAGGTGGGAAAAGAGGTGAGATGGGAAAAGAGGTGAGGTGGGAAAAGAGGTGAGGTGGGAAAAGAGGTGAGGTGGGAAAAGAGGTGAGGTGGGAAAAGAGGTGAGGTGGGAAAAGAGGTGAGATGGGAAAAGAGGTGAGGTGGGAAAAGAGGTGAGGTGGGAAAAGAGGTGAGATGGGAAAAGAGGTGAGGTGGGAAAAGAGGTGAGGTGGGAAAAGAGGTGAGGTGGGAAAAGAGGTGAGGTGGGAAAAGAGGTGAGGTGGGAAAAGAGGTGAGGTGGGAAAAGAGGTGAGGTGGGAAAAGAGGTGAGGTGGGAAAAGAGGTGAGGTGGGAAAGAGGTGAGGTGGGAAAAGAGGTGAGGTGGGAAAAGAGGTGAGGTGGGAAAAGAGGTGAGGTGGGAAAAGAGGTGAGGTGGGAAAAGAGGTGAGGTGGGAAAAGAGGTGAGGTGGGAAAAGAGGTGAGGTGGGAAAAGAGGTGAGATGGGAAAAGAGGTGAGGTGGGAAAAGAGGTGAGGTGGGAAAAGAGGTGAGGTGGGAAAAGAGGTGAGGTGGGAAAAGAGGTGAGGTGGGAAAAGAGGTGAGGTGGGAAAAGAGGTGAGGTGGGAAAAGAGGTGAGGTGGGAAAAGAGGTGAGGTGGGAAAAGAGGTGAGGTGGGAAAAGAGGTGAGGTGGGAAAAGAGGAGGTGGGAAAAGAGGTGAGGTGGGAAAAGAGGTGAGGTGGGAAAAGAGGTGAGGTGGGAAAAGAGGTGAGGTGGGAAAAGAGGTTGGACGTGACCGCGGCTATCCGTTGAACAAGGAGGTTTGAGCCCAGGCCACTGTGGTGGGGGAAGGAACACGAAAAGGGGGAAGCAACTTTTGAGACGTCTCGAGCGGCAGTCGGTTGGATGCAGCTGTGGAACAAAGAGGTTCGTGCCCAGGCCTCTGTGGTGGGGGTGAAGGGAAGATGAACAACAGATGTGGAGGAAAGGAGCAGACGACGGAAGGTGCAAGGGGTTCTGAGGTGCCTAGACTAGAACAGCAGAAGCACATGGAGCCTTGGAACTAAGAGGTTCGTGCCCAGGCCTCTGTGGTGGGGACGAGACGAGGAGAGATGGGAGGGGAAAAGGCGGTCAGAGAGAGCGAGAAACGGGGTGCCTAAGGGGAAAAGGGCTAGCCCAGCTAAGCTGATGGGATAATCACTTTCTCATACACAAAAATATGTCACACAGAAATACGAAAACGTACTTGTATTATTGATTAGCTAATTTGATTCACTTTGAACTCTTCACCCAAAGCTGAGCCTCACACATGTGAGTTGGCATGGCCGAAATTGTTGTCAGCAGGGCGTACATGTGAGTCAGCATGACATGGCATGACGTACATGTGAGTCAGCATGACCTGGCATGTGAGTCAGCAGCATGACATGGCATGACGTACATGTGAGTCAACATGACCTGCCATGACGTACATGTGAGTCAGCATGACCTGGCATGACGTACATGTGAGTCAGCATGACATGGCATGACGTAATGTGAGTCAGCATGACCTGGCATGACGTACATGTGATTGAGCGCAGTGAGCTTGGAGATTTCTTTTGGGATGCTTCCTGTCAGCTTCTGATTCTCCAGGTCGCTGCAAGGGAGAGAGGAGGCGCAGAGGAGGCGCAGGGGAGGCGCAGGGGAGGCGCAGGGGAGGCGCAGTGGAGGCGCAGGGGAGGCGCAGGGGAGGCGCAGGGGAAGCAAAGGGGAAGCAAAGGGCGTTCTCTTCAAGATTTGCTGCTATTCCGAGATTTCCTTGGGATGCTTCCTGTCAGCTTCTGACTCTCCAGGTCGCTGCAAGGCAGGCAGGGCATAGAAATCACGTTGGGGAGGCATTGAAAGACAATGCAGTTGCAACGCATTGCGAAGCATGTGTGCATGAGGCAAACGGGGTGGATCATTGCTCACACATATCCATCCACTGCATCGCCCCGCACTCATACATCCATGCCTCCATGCACCCTAAAAACGCACATGCACAACAACACGCACAACACGCACAACACGCACAGCCCACCCCCACGCAAGCACATCTGGCGCACATCCCTTGAGGGTGAGCAAATCACAACCGTCCACTCCCCCCCTTGCTGCGCCTGGCATACATGCAGCGTCGCACGCACGCACGCACGCACGCACGCATGTACGCACACACACACACACACACACACACATGCATCACTCCCCGCACACCCACAGCACGCACATCTGGCGCACTTCCCCCGTGGTTGAGCAGATCACGCCCGTCCAGTCCCTGGCTTGTTGCGTCTGGCTTGTGACTGTGCAGGCCGTGTTGCCTCTGGTGCAGACACACACACATGCATCTCATACATGCACACGCGCACAACACGCACATATGCACACCGATACACCCACAGCACGCACATCTGGCGCACTTCCCCCGTGGTTGAGCAGATCACGCCCGTCCAGTCCCCGGCTTGTTGTGTCTGGCTTGTGACAGTGCAGGCCGTGTTGCCCGCTGCCCACGTGGTGAGAGTGACGCCCAGCGATGACTTGATGATCAGTAGAGTGTCGACTGGGGGGGAAGGGGGAAGGGGGAAGGGGGGGGGTTGGTGTTGTACAGGGGATGGGGAGTGGGGAGGGGAGGCGAGCGCGGGCAGGGAGGGCAGAGGGGAGAAAAATGGCTGGTGAGCGTGCAGGCCGTGTTGCCTTGCCTGCCGCCCACGTGGTGAGAGTGACGCCCAGCGATGACTTAATGATGAGAAGAGTGTCGACTGGAAGTGGGGGAAGGTGGGGGGGAGGCACGGGGAGGCAAAAGCGGTGGCAGCAGGGAGGGAGAGTGGATGGGTGGTGAGGGTGACGCGGAGCGCTTTTGAGAATTCTCAAAAGTGAGGGTGACGCGGAGCGATGACTTGATGATCAGGAGGGTGTCGACTGGGGGGGGGACGAGAGGCGGTGAGGAGTGGGGGGATAGGGGATGTGGAGTGGTGGTGGGGAGGAGGGCCCAATGGGCGGGGGAGGGAGGCGGAAAGGTAGGCAGGGGGAAGGGGACGGCAGGGGGAACGGGAAGGCAGGGGGAAGGGGGAAGAACCGGGGAGACACCGCCCAGCCTGCGGCACCCCAAGCCCCCTTTCCCTCCTTGTAGCAAGTGGTTTTTTAGAAAAAGCGATGCGAGGCGACATCCTAGCTCCTCTTTCCGTCCTCCCCTTTCCCTAGCTCCCCGCTCCGCGCCCAGCCCTCCCCTGCCCGCGCTCACTTGTGCTTGCGCTCATAGGCACTGCGCCCACGCGCGGAATAAGCGGAAGAAGCAAAAGAATCACGGCGCAGAGGAACACGCGGGGCCCCATTATCCCCGCTCCACGCGGAAAAGACCGGCTCGATTCGTCCATCATCCGCGCTCGTTCCGCTCGCCATTCGCATCGCCGCGCCCTTCGCCGCGCGTGCGATATTGACCCTTCGCCTCCCCCGCGCACCTCCCGCATCTTACGCCGCTTTTCTGGTTGCATGGCGCACGCAACGCCGAGTATCTAGCGAATTATATCATACCATCAGCTTCAGCCCAAACATGGGGGTCTTGAAATGCGGTCCAAACCTTTCGTCAGGCTTTCGCGAGCCGAACTAGCGTCGCCTAAACCGCTACCGTCGAAATGCGGCTTTGATGTTGTTTCTGCGTCAAATGTCAGCTGTGGGAACGAACGCGATTACACATGATGCCCGTTTGAGCCACTCCCGGTTGCCTTGTGAAGGGGGCCTATAAGCTGTAACGTGCAATTCGCATAAGTTTCGTACATTCGCAGCTAGCAAAAATGGATTCGTCAGGTGCTTATAAATATTTTTTGGAACTTTATCCGTTGACATTTTGAGTTAAGTCTCTTCAGCATGACTTCGGTCTGTTCGTTACTATTGGTTCATAACCACTGCAAGGTGCGCGACGTGCCTGTAACGTGCGTGCAACTGGCTGGGGAAAAAACCTCGGGTGCAGGTTTTCCATCCGTGGAAGGGAAAATTTTCGTGTAGGGGCTGGGCATCACGTGTATTCTTCGACAATACTGTAACGATTGACTTTGCAACGGAGCAACCATGGCTAGCGCGCTAGTGCAGTGTTTCGCCTACGACCAACACAAGGGTAAGTAGCTTTCGCGGGGGTACTACTAGCGAACCTGCGCTTTCCAGTGAACTACAGCGCTAGTTGCGGGCACTTTCCGCCCCTCCATCCCTCCGACAGGGAAGTTATTGCAACAATACGAAACTCGGCTCCACATGCACCCACGTGTCCCTGGAAAAACCCGCTGGAAAATTTGCAAGCCACTTGAAAAACCTGACCGAAAAAAACTAAAACCCGATCGGAAATGGATGTGTCTTTTCCGGGCATCAACCCAAGAAAAAATGCCGGTTCCCGTATTTAGGGTTGATTACTCCCGAAAATGAGTCCAGGTTCCCTGTGGGTTTTATTTTTTTCTGCCCTGCGTTCTCTAATTTTCTCGAATTTGTGACACGTGGGTTAATTTGGGATCGAGTTCTGTGTTGTTGCCATAACTTAACTGTCTGAGGCTCAGAGGGGCGGAAAGTGCCCGCAACTAGCGCTGTAGTTACCTGGAAAGCGCAGGGTCGCTAGTAGTACCTCCGCCAAAGCTAGTTACCCCTAACACAAGGTGCGCCCGACTCACGTGCGAAATCCGCGTGTCGTTGGCGAAGAACTCGGTTGGTTCGTTTTCCAGCACATGTGCTTCAGGGAGAGGTGGAATGGTTGGCTAGCTCGTGATGTGCGAAATCTTGCGACGGTATGGAGAGCGTGGCGCCGGGTTACATATTATTCATCCACTACAAACTTGTAAAGTACAGTTGACGCCTAACCTTGTCGCGAAACCAAGAGCAAGTAACGATAATCTACAGTGTATTTCAGAACTATGTGTGTGGTCGAAATGCACAGAAAAAAAATCCCCTTCCGGTGTTTTTATTTCCAAAGATGTTAGCCGTTGTCACGGATCTTTGCTTCACAATTTGGTAACGAATGGCACTCGATAAAAAACAACCGAGGCCACTCAGTAGTACACAGTATACAATCAGACCACTTACAGTCCGATTATTTTGAAATCCCCCGAAACAAGGACATGCGGGAGGGGGCATCCGGTGTACTGTGACAATTGTCTTACACTTTGCCATGGAGCTGGCCGCCAGCTGGATTCACCAGTCACAACAAACCTGAATTGGTGGTCCCAATATTCCATGCAAGCACCACCTCTGGCACCACACCCTCAATTCGTCGCTAGCAAACACAGCACCTAGCCAGACCAGAAGAGACGAAACAGAGGTAAGGGCGGGTCCAGCGCGTACGTTTACAGGTGCTTCCAGTTCATCCGTCGATGTTCGAGACGATAGAAACTGGTGCACAGCGGTTTTAAATCTTCACCGTTTTGCACCTCGAGGCAATAAGATAAACCGCACAGAATGAACTGTAGTGCAACCGAAAACGTACGCGCAGGACCCGCCCTAACACGCACAATACACCTGTAACATCCGCGATTCTGCTGTTGCGATTGTGATTCGTGATTCGTGGAGGTCGGTGGAACAAGGGTGTGGAGTGGAGCCCATCTGTTCAACCTAGGGCTGGCACCACTTTGCACCATAGCAACATTCAACGGACCTGATAAATTACCGTGCCCAACCCTTTTCGAAGTCGGAACTCAAAGGGCCTCACAAATAATGAACCCCACCATGAAATTTGTGTTCGCCCATCCATGCGGTGGAGCTTCGAGTGTGGTGTGGTGTCAAGTGATCTTGCGCCAGCCCTCTTCCAGATACAGCGTAGTTTGTCGAAGTGTACAGTACCGAGCCGCGCCCCTTGCTGAATCGGTGTGTAACTAGTCGCAACACACCATACCGAGCAAAAACATACAAAACCGTCCTTTAAGCGTGTAACGGCATTCCTCCTCCCCTCGCCTTCTCGTCCGTACAAGTTTTCTTCCGCGCTCCGAACCAGCTGCGCGCGCAGTCCGCCACCAATCCTGCCCGTCATCTCAAGAGTCAGCCACAGCTGCCGCGTGAAGCGCAGCTTAGACGAGTCCGAAGCGCTTGAAGCGTAAGCTTCAAAAGCCTGTCTTAGATTTCGGGAGTTTGGGCTGTGATCGCCGTGCTTTGGTAGGAAGCTGCAAATGCGCAGTTTGAGTACACGACCACAACAGTGCATCAGAGACAAACAAGCTGCGGTTGTAGTGAAATTTGAATCTCCCCTGCATTAGGGTTTCTAGTACGTCTTCCAGCTATACATTCCCGTGCTTGGCGCTGGCTCCGCGAGCTTCCAGAGGCTTGTATTGCCGAGTAGCGGGATTACTCGGCGATCTTTCTCTGGGAACTCCTCTGACTAGAAGGTGTCGCGCGTTTCTTGACGCGCGGCGATGTCTCGTCGCATACGTTTCGCGAACTGTCGCAAGATGTCGCAGCCCGCGAGTGTGCACTTTTGATTGCGACATCGGCGGAACTGTAGTCGCGAATTACTATTGCAAGGCGTGCAGTCGTAAAACTCCTCCGACTAGAAGGATCTGCACCGCTTACACTCCGCCGCGTGCCGCGCGCTGATGCGCGTCCCGCGCACACGATCATGGCGCGTTGTCGCGGCGACAGGTTCGGCAGCCCAGCCGCGCGGCGCTTCCAGCGCCTCCCCCCGTCCATCTGGAGAGATCTTTCCGCGTGTTCTTCCCCGTGGGCGCTTTCCGCCATCCCCCAGAAAAGGGCGTTGCGCCCCGCGCGGGGACAAACCCCCCCCGCGCCGGCGCTCCGCAGCGCCGAAGCGGTGATCTGCGCAACGCGTCTGTCGGCGCGTTTGGCGGCGACGATCGCTCTCCTGCTCGTCGCCAGCATGTGCGGCGGCTTCTGCGGCCGCGCTAGCGCCGTCGCTGTCAATTATAACGACTGTAAGCCGGCGAAACTAACAATTGCCACTCTTGTTACCCTGTCGCCGGCCAATGTGGCTGCATGCGAGGAATATGCTTGCATGTCATGCTTATAAATGCGCGCTTTTTCTGAGCCGCCTCAAAAATAGACTATGTCGTGCCAAAATGCGCACTTTTTTTCCCCCTTGTCTCTGAAACGCCCGCTTCTCCTCCGCATTCCCCTATTTCTGCCCCTCCCCATTCCCTTCCCTCCCCGATTCTCCTTTTCCCCAATACTCCTCCCGTCCCCCTTCCCCCCCATCCTCCCCCTCCCGCCGTTCCTCTCCGTTGTCCCCCATTCCGCGCCCGGCGCAACGAGCGCATCCGCGCCTGCGCCCGCCGAACCCCCACTCCCCCCAGAGACCCTTGCTGCGCGCTGATCTCAGTCCGCTACGCGCCTCACGAATAGGCCCCCATCCCCCATCCCCCCTTCCCCCTTCCGGCTTCCCCTCTTTCCCCTCTCCCCTCCCCTTCCCTCCAAAACACCCTCGTTGCGCTGCGCGCTGAGCGCCTTTCTTTAGGCGCCCCAACCTAGAGCTCCCCCTTCCCCCAAGCCGAGCTTCACTGCACCCGCCCAACGCGCTCTATTCCTACCTCCCCCCCTCTTTCCGCTTCCCACCAGTCACATGCAAGTGCTCCCCCTCCCCCGGTGCGCCCAAGGGTCGCACTCTTCTCTCTGCGCGCCGAGCTGAGCCTCACCACGCCCGCCACCCCCCCCCCCCCCCCCCCCGGTGCTCCCCAGGGGCCGCACTCCTCTCAGTGCGCGCCGAGCTCAACTTCACTGTCCCTGCCTCGCGCACGCCCAAGGCTCCTAGTCCCACCTTCCCCCAACCTTTTCCCCCATCCTTCCTCCTCCCCTTCCTTCTCCCCAGGGGCCGCACTCCTCTCGCTGCGCGCCGAGCTCAACATCACAGTGCCCGCATCGCGCACGCCCAAGGCGCTGTGGGTGTCGCGGGGGAGTTGTGACGATCTGTATGGCGTGCGGTGCGACGAGCACGGCAGCGTGACCTCGCTGTGAGTGCTCCTCTCATCTCACTCTCTTGCTCTGTTTCCCTGCGAGTCATGCTGTGAGTTCCCAAGGCGCTGTTGTGTGGGCATGGAAGGGGTTGTGACGACCTGTATGGGGTGCGCTGCGACGACCAGGGCAGCGTCAGATCCCTGTGAGTGCTGTGCAGCGCTCTCTTCTTACTCTCCTTTTCTCTTTTCGGGGCATAAAATTAAATGTTATGTGCACACGTTTACACATACGCACACCCACGTGTGTTTCTCTGCGGGCAGCCCCTCTCCCCGCCCGCCTTCTCTCTTCTCGTTCCCCTCTCCACCCTCTCTCTCCGTCCCCACCCTCCCTTCCCGTTCCCCCACCCCCTCCGCCCTCTCTCTCTCCCCCCCACCCTCCCCTCCCATTCCCCCACCTCCTCCGCCCTCTCTCTATCCCCCCCACCCTCCCTTCCCATTCCCCCACCCCCTCCGCCCTCTCTCTCTCCCCCCCACCCTCCCTTCCCATTCCCCCACCCCCTCCGCCCTCTCTCTCTCCCCCCCACCCTCCCTTCCCATTCCCCCACCCCCTCCGCCCTCTCTCTCTCCCCCCCCCAGTCTCCTGTACAGCGTCACAGGCACACTTCCCTCTGCAATCGGCAACCTCACAGCTCTCACCACACTGTGAGTCTGCCCTTTCACCGCTCTGCACCGCACTGCCTCTCCCTTCAGTCCTCTGCTGCGTGATCTCCAGTTGCCCACAGCAGTTGCCTGCTCGCTCGATACCTCTGCTTGTGGCGCCTCAAAACTATACTCTTTTTGCCCCTTGTTGTCCCACTTCACCCCCAACCCACACTGCCACCCATCCCCACCCATCCCCACCCATCCCCACCTAATCCCCACGCAGCTCCGTCTCCTCAAACCTCTCATGCCCGCTCCCATCCCGTCCACCATCACCACCCTCACCGCGCTGGTCAATCTCCATCTCAGCTGCAACAACCCTTTTCCCATTGCCACCCACCCACCCTCTACCCCACCCATGCTACCCCCATACCCACGTCCCATGCACCCCACACAGCTCCGTCTCTTCCAACCTCTCATGCCCGCTCCCATCCTCTCTCACCACTCTCACCGCGCTGGTCAATCTCCATCTCGGCCGCAACAGCCTCTCCTGCTCGCTGCCGCCCTGGCTCACCACGCTCTCAAAGCTCAAGATTCTGTAAGAACTGATTTGATTCGTTTCGTATGGCCCGGTTCCGTTCGGTTGGATGCGGTATCGTCCGATAGGACTCTGTTCCATGCGGTTCTGATCTCAACGGTGTGGTACTGTCCGGTAGGATTCTGTCAGATACGATTCTGTCTGTGGCATCAAAGGACCAGGAGTGGATGTCCCTGCCTGCCCGTGTTCATTCTCGCTCCCCCGGTGCTGTGTCAACTCGAGGACTCATACCCGCTTTCCGCCCCCCCCCCTCCCCTGCTCCACCCCTCCTCCCCCGCTTCCCACGTCCCCGTCCCTTGTTCAGGAGCATAGAATGGAACAAGATCACAGGAAGCATACCGGCAGGCATCTCCGCACTCTCCTCGCTCTCCGCTCTGTAATGCCGCCATGCACCCATGCATGCATGCACCCATGCACCCACCCCCCCCATTCCATCCATCCATGCGCCATGCACACACGGACTCTATGTCCCCCAATGTGTTCAATGCTCCGAATTCATGCCGCCCCCCTTTTCGTCCTAACCTCAACACGTGCCGCCCTTTTCTTCTACGTCCCACTGGATGCCGCCCCTCCACTACATTCCAATGCATGCCGCCCCTCCCCCTTGGCAACATCCCCATGGCAGGCGAGCGGACTACAACCTTCTGACCGGCTCCATCCCGGCTGCTATCGGCAAGCTCACTAACCTAACCCAACTGTGAGCAACTATTGACTGGTTAAGGCGCTTCAGAAATAGTCACTCCAGCAACACTCAATCAACAACAATACTGTTGCTTCCAATCAATCAACCCCCTCTCCTTTCCTCCCCAGCGACACTCAACCCCAGTTTTCTCGCATTTGACAGCCTCAGCAATTTCTGAGGCGTCTCATAGTTTTCCTCCACATCCTATCCTCCCCTCTCTCCTCCCCTCTCTCCTCCCCTCTCTCCTCCCCTCTCTCCTCCCCTCCTTTTCCCCCCTGCCATACTCCTCTGCGTTCGCTTGCTTTCAACAGCATCAGCGGAACCATCCCATCATCTATAGGCCTGCGGAAGCACCTCTCCCCCCCTTCTCTCCCCTTCACTCCCCCTCACTCCCCTCCCCTCCCCCCCCTTCCCTTCCCGAACCACGCTCCCCTGCAGTCGCTTGCCTTGAACAGCCTCAGCGGATCCATCCCAGCAGCTCAGTGCCATATTTCTGGGACGTCTCATATCAACCCCCTCCACGTTGCCCCCCCTCTACCCACCCTTCAACCATGCCCCCCTGCAGTTCGCTTGCCTTGAACAGCCTCAGCGGATCCATCCCAGCAGCTCAGTGCCATATTTCTGGGACGTCTCATATCACTCCCCTCCACATTGTCCCCCCTCTACCCACCCTTCAACCACGCTCCCCTGCAGTTCGCTTACCTTCAACAGCCTCAGCGGATCCATCCCAGCGTCTATAGGCCTGCTAAAGCAGCTCAGAACCCTGTGCGTAGTATGAAGAGGGGTTTGGTAAGCATCTAGTGACCATCTAGTGACCCTGGGCAACATACTCACAGGGCCCGTCGCATCGCATCCCATCGAGTCGACTCAAGAAACATACTCACAGGGCCCGTCCCATCCCATCGCAAATCAGGAGCCTGGTGTATCTCGAGTCGACTCAGGATTCGCCCTGTTCTCTCCTCTCTCTCCCCCCTTACTATCCCCCATCACACAGCGACCTGCGGGGCAACATGATTGCAGGATCCATCCCCTCGCAACTCAGCACCCTCTCTCTCCTCTACCGCCTGTGAGTGAGCGTCTCGTTTCTGCTGTTTGTGGGAGATGATTCTTGGGACATTTTTTCCAGTGAGCAGCACTTGCGTAGTTTTGAGTCGACTAAAAAAAACTCGGGTCTTGTTTCTGCTGTTTGTGGGAGGTGATTCTTGACTCGATAAAAAAAAAAACGCCTCTTTTTTAACGCGCCTCAAAAGTCGACTCCGAAAGCACTTCTCGTTTCTCAACTGCCTGCAACGCGTTGTGACATCTCTGAGAAGCATTGTTTGTGACATCTCTGAGAAGCATTGTTTGTGACATCTCTGAGAAGCATTGTTTGTGACATCTCTGAGAAGCATTGTTTGTGACATCTCTGAGAAGCATTGTTTGTGACATCTCTGAGAAGCATTGTTTGTGACATCTCTGAGAAGCATTGTTTGTGACATCTCTGAGAAGCATTGTTTGTGACATCTCTGAGAAGCATTGTTTGTGACATCTCTGAGAAGCATTGTTTGTGACATCTCTGAGAAGCATTGTTTGTGACATCTCTGAGAAGCATTGTTTGTGACATCTCTGAGAAGCATTGTTTGTGACATCTCTGAGAAGCATTGTTTGTGACATCTCTGAGAAGCCTTGTTTGTGACATCTCTGAGAAGCATTGTTTTTTCCTCCTGTCTCGCTCGCCCCTCTCGCCCCCCTCACCCCTCTTAACAGCTGGCTTCAAAGCAACGCGCTCACAAGACCAAATCCCTCCTCCCTCTCCCTTCCCTTTTTTGTTTCACGCTTGTCCTTCTCGCCCCTGTCGCCCGTCTCACCCCGCTCGTTGCTACAGCTCTCTACAGAGCAACGCGCTGACAGGACCCATTCCCTCCACCCTCTCCCTACCGGGCCTCAGACACCTGTAAGGCTTAGATAGAGCAACACCTGAGGCTTGTCCAAACACCTTGAGTAACGCTCCCTGCAGACAGTTGCGGGGTTTTGAAAAACCGTGTTGTGAAGCAGTCAGGGGTTCTTCTTGCGCACGATCGTGCTCCCCATACCCCCCCCTCCCACCAGGCAATTCAGTCTCAGCTGCAAACGCGCACAAATGCGCGACTAGGGTGAGTGAATGCATGTGAAAGAGAGAGGGCAGTTTACGTGGCCTCCCCCCCAAAGAGATTCTCATGCCCTTCCTCCCCTATATCATGTGAAATACCTCCTCACACACACTCTCCCATGCTTCCCCATGCTGCCCCAGTGCCCTGGGCAGGACAACAACGCACTCTCTGGACCCCTGCCATCAACCCTGGGGAATCTCACTTCCCTCGCCCCATCTCTCCCCCAATGTTTATACCCGCTCAATGCCCCTTCCTCATGCCCTCCCCGTGCCCCTGCTCCATTCCTGCCCCCACAGTGCTCTGGACAACAATGCACTCTCGGGGTCCCTGCCATCAACCCTTGGAAATCTCACTTCCCTCGCCTACTTGTAATGCCCCTCCTCTCCTCCTCTTGAACCCCCAATGCTCCTCCCTCGCTCCCTCCGTCCCTCCTCTCCATCCAGCCAGAATCCATTGTCTCACTCACTCACTCACTCACTCACTCGCTCGCTCACTCGCTCAGTCAATATTTTGCTCAAAGCCTTAAGGCATCCTGCTTGAAATTCAACCCTATTGTGCACATGCCATGTTTTGAGTCGACTTAAAGCCCGCACCATGCTTGAATTTCTCCTCAATTGCGCACTTGCCATCCATCCACTCACCCATTGCGTTCTTACTCGTTTGAAAACATAATCCTCCATTCGCCCCTCCAACCCCAGTCCCCTCATTCTCACTCACTTCCCCACTCACCCCAACCCCTCGCTCGTCTAACTCCCCCTGTAATTCCCAGATCAGCATGCAACAACCGCCTCTCGTCATCCCTCCCCGAGTCCCTCTCTGCTCTTATTCTCCTTCAACACTTGTACGAACACCATTCCTCTCCCTCCTTACCTGCCTTTCTACCTTCCTTCCCTCTCTCCCTATCTCCTTATTTCCTCCCCTGTCACCTTTTCCCCCCCTGCGTCCCTCTCTGCTCTTATTCTCCTTCAACACTTTTACGAACATCATTCCTCTCCCTCCTTCCTTCCTTCCTTCCTTCCTTTCCTTCCTTCCTTCCTTCCTTCCTTCCTTCCTTCCTTCCTTTCCTTCCTTCCTTCCTTCCTTCCTTCCTTCCTTCCTTCCTTCCTTCCTTCCTTCCTTCCTTCCTTCCTTCCTTCCTTCCTTCCTTCCTTCCTTCCTTCCTTCCTTCCTTCCTTCCTTCCCTCCCTCCCTCCCTCCTTCCTTCCTTCCTTCCTTCCTTCCTTCCTTCCTTCCTTCCTTCCTTCCTTCCTTCCTTCCTTCCTTCCTTCCTTCCTTCCTTCCTTCCTCCCCTCACTTTTTCCCTATGTCCTTTTTTCCCCCCCTCTCCTCTCCTTCCCCACGTTCTTCTCTGCTCCTACCAGAACCTTTCGCAATCAGCTTGCCTCCCTCCACTCCTACTACCCTCCCTGCTCTTTAATATGACATTTGAGTCTACTAAAAAAATCGAAATTCGCTAAAAACACCCTCCTTCAGACTCCCAACGACCCCCTCCCGCAACCTCCTTTCCGGCTCCATCCCTGCTGGCCTCTCTGCTCTTCGAGTCGAGATTACTTTTGAGCCCACTCAAAGTCTCTTTCATACGCCCACCCATTTCTGCCCCCCCCCAGAGATGTCTCGCGCAACCTCCTCTCAGGCTCCATCCCTGAAGGCCTCTCTTCTCTGCAAGAACTCTCCTCGCTGTAAGCACACCTGCTGTAAGCACACCTGCTGTAAGCACACCTGCTGTAAGCACACCTGCTGTAAGCACACCCGCTGTAAGCACACCCGCTGTAAGCACACCCGCTGTAAGCACACCCGCTGTAAGCACACCCGCTGTAAGCACACCCGCTGTAAGCACACCCGCTGTAAGCACACCCGCTGTAAGCACACCTGCTGTAAGCACACCTGCTGTAAGCACACCTGCTGTAAGCACACCTGCTGTAAGCACACCCGCTGTAAGCACACCCGCTGTAAGCACACCCGCTGTAAGCACACCCGCTGTAAGCACACCCGCTGTAAGCACACCCGCTGTAAGCACACCCGCTGTAAGCACACCCGCTGTAAGCACACCCGCTGTAAGCACACCCGCTGTAAGCACACCCGCTGTAAGCACACCTGCTGTAAGCACACCTGCTGTAAGCACACCTGCTGTAAGCACACCCGCTGTAAGCACACCCGCTGTAAGCACACCCGCTGTAAGCACACCTCCCTCGCATCATCGCACATTGGTCATGGCACACAGCACAGCACAGCACAGCACAGCACAGCACAGCACAGCACGCGTTCCATAACTACCGCATCATATCTGACTGAATCTCTGTGCTGCCGTCACATCTGATCGAACCCCTGTGCTGCCGTCACATCTGATCGAACCTCTGTGCTGCTGTGCAGGCTACTCAACGGCAACTCCTTCCAAGGGCCCATCCCATCTGATTGCTGAGTCCACTAAAGAGCCCATCCATCTCTCACCCTCACCGCTCCCCCTCCCCTCATTTCCACCCCTCTGTGCTGCCGTCACATCTGATCGAACCCCTGTGCTGCTGTGCAGGCTACTCAACGCCAACTCCTTCCAAGGGCTTATCCCATCCGC